ACAAAAAGAAAACTTATATTACCCTACGAGTTTCGTCCTCTGAGGGACTTTATCGAGGCAAATGTAAGGATTTTATTTTGTGGCAAGTATTTATATACAAGAGCAAAAATGCTATTGAGTTTCAAATCTTTTGGTATACGCGTGCTCATGAATATTCATCGGGTTAGCAGACAGTTCAGGTAAGTTTATGGACATGAGGTGATAGAATTCAATATCCTGCGAGATTTTTTTTTATTTGTATATATATATATATATATATATTAATTGATTTAAAATATGGTTTTTCCGCTACACAGTTCTAACCATGTTTCAAAAATGGAAGCTAAAAGATTCGAATTTAATTTTGTAATTAAATTGAAAACATTAGTTCCATTTCATCCTCAAGCGAATTTTGGAGTAACTTATTAATGGGTTTTAAAAGCACAGCAAAAATCTTAATTCACGTTTCCAAGGATAGAGAGAAACCCATTCATCCAGACAAGGGGTGTTTGCGAGTTCATTATCACTGTATTTTGATGTATCAGTTATTAGTTATGTTTTGGTAGGGGTAGGGATGTATTTTTCAATGAATTCTGACATCCATTAAATATATATATACATATATATATATATATATATATATATATATATATATATATATATATATATATATATATATATAATTTAAAAAAATTATCTGGTATTGATTTATATGATTTATGTTTTGAATAAAATAAGGTCATGGATTTAACCGTTTTCTTTTAACTTTTTAGTATTTTTGTGGTTATGTATCTTGGCCTGGGATAGAAGTTCTTTCAGGTATGGAGATATATTGGGAAGAATCCAGGGCGCAGATTTATATTTTGATAACAATTTGATAGCGGCACACACGAGAATTTGCCTTACTAGTAAGTTACTTTCTTTTTTATAAGGGTGGCATTCTGTAGGTAAAAGTTGTAGTTAAATTTATTTTAATGTATGACAAATACATTTGGTAATTTTTTGTGAAAGGCCCCTTTTATGTTCGTAGGTATGTTTTTTCTAATTTCTGTCAGTTACCCGAATATATTGTGAGATCTACTTCTGGCAATATTTTTTTTATATACCTGCTTCAGAATTATTATTCTTGTGGGTATTTTGGGATCTGACAATATACATAATAGTTTTGGATATCGTTGTAATTATTTTCATGTTCTTCAGATTGGATAGATTGCTTTGGATAGTGAATGTTAGTAGATTGTATTATGTATCTGTTTTCATCTAGGTTATTGTTGTTGATAACAGAAACAACAACGAAATTCAGTTTGAAGTTTACAGGAAAAAAATTACTAACTTTTTGAAAGGATCACTTTCCAGAAATTCCCAAAATAGACAAGCCAAAACGCTTCTAAGAAGAGAACCCATCGTTAAATCAAATTTTTAACAATAAAAATTGTTATCGAAGATGTAAAAACTTTTCTTGTTTATTAAATGGCACATTTTTATGATTTTATGTGTAGGAATTTGGTAATTGTGTTTTTGTTTTAGTTAAGTGTGTTTTTTGAAAATTTAAACATTTCTTTTCAGGAACATTTGTACATAAAGATTTTATATCTAAACCAGTAATATATTTGTTTTTGCTATGTTTTTAATTTATTTAAAAGATCACCAGAGTCTTTTTTATATGCAAGGCATTAATTGTACCAAGAAATGAGGTTAAAATTTTGGTTAGTGTACTGCCTAGTTTATAAGGAACACTGCCTATTTTTGATATGATGGGTTTTATTGGGATGTCCAATTTATGTATTTTTGATAATCCATAAAGTGGGGGTGTTTTCAGGTAGTGTTTGATGAATCTTAATTAGGAATCGTCTTCATTTTTTAGAAATTTCTTGATTTTATTTTTAAATTTTTGTGTTTCTTTGATGATTTATTTTCTTTCATTTATTTTTCATTGATATTGTCATCAAGGACATGTTCATTTTTTGTAGATAAATGTGTTTGTCCTGAATTATAATTCCATTATCTTTGTTGGAGGGGGGAATATGAATGTTTTGTTGTTTGATATTTCTTTTAGGGCTTTTATATATCTGCAGGGAATGTGGCTTCATTTATTTTTTCGAGTTTGGCTGTAATTAAACCCTGGATGTATCCTTTGTTTAAATCTAAGTCATTATTTTAGTGGTTTTTAATCATGAAATCCGCAATATCATTTTTCGGCAATCCAGTGGCAAATAAAAGCTTCCAGTTGTGTATCCGATAGATTAAATTTGAATAAATTTGTAATTAAGTCTTTTCTGTCGGCTTTAGACTATTTGTTTTTAGAAATCAATTTTGTAAGTTACGAATTTGCTTATTGTTGTTGTAACTGATCGGAATTCTTAATTCTCTCCGTTCGTATTTATGAAGATCATTTCCTATACATAAACACTTAGATAGATAGATAGATAGATAGATAGATAGATAGATAGATAGATAGATAGATAGATAGATAGTCGTATTCAAAATAAACAAGAACCCTAAAAATAAGGTGAGAGGAGAGAAAACAACAGCAACAACCTCAAATTTGATGTTTACAGTATTAATTGATAAAACAATTAAACTATTAAAGAATGTACATCTGAGAGTGGGGGAAAAAAGAAAAAATCTTGACTTCTTTTACTGTTATGATAAATAGTAAGGAACTTGTTTATTTATTATGATGGAGCAAAGAAAATCAAATCAGAAAATGGCATAAAGAATAATGGAAATAAAGTTATTCTTGTACATATATTATTTTTATCAAAGGTTTTAAAATCCATTTGTGTTTTATATTCATTCATCATTCATTTATAATTCATATATATTACATCAATGTTTTCACAAGATAAATTGCTATTAGCCAGCCGACCTCTGCAACATTTTCACGATATGAACAGTATATTATGTTATTTTCAGCTTATATATCCCCATTAAAAATATTGATAGTTGCTATTTTTGGTCTGTCTTTTTATACAAAAGCAACATAAATCTTTTTATTTATGAATAAATCAGAAGATAAAGGCACTATAAACATTTATCATAATATTCCATTTACTTTAATGAATTATTATTTTGCATGTTAATATGACCTCCTTAATATTTTGTAGTCTTCTGAAAATTAATTTGGTTGACTATTTTTTGACTTCGTTGTTACATCGTTTTTTATTTCTTGAAATCTTTTTTTAATTAAATATTGTGTTCTATTCTAAATGCAACTCTTTTGACGATGGGAAAAGCGGATTAACATAGATTGGGGCTATTCTATTAATTTTGTAATCTTTTTGGCAAGGTGGGCAATAGTCAGCTTTGCAGAATTTGAAGGTAAATTTGCTTGCTTGACTGTACTCTTTAGCTTAAAGCTTTTAAGTTGTGAACTTCACCAAAAACCTTTGTGAAAGAACTTACAGTAATTATCTGCATTTATCTTGATATCATATTCAACTGTGAAGAGAATTTTACTACCTACAATACTAATGAAAAAGATTACTTCACCTCCAGTCGTAGCTCAGTCACCAGATCCAGCTTGTATATCTTTTCATTTACCACTAAAAATTGCTGTTGTGAAATCAGTTTTCATGTACTTTTTCGCCCAACTTCGTGTGGATGCTTAAAAGTGTTTGGTTGTTTTCACGTTTTAAGCAACATTCTTAATTTTCGGCATCTCCTTTTCTGTTTACCTTCACAGTTCCATCCTCTTCTTAATAGTCAATCGTCTTTTTTTTTTTTTTTTTTCGTTATCACATAATTTTCCTCGAACTTGTTTTTGGAGAATTCTTTAGGTATTTTTTCTCGTTTTTACCTTGACGGTGTTTTCAATTTAATTTTCATTGTTCTGGGATCTCTAATCAACTGTTACTCAATTTCCAACGTTGTGTTCTCATCATTCAATAAACTTTACAATATCTTGTTTCTCGTTTGTTTAATATAATTTCTATTTGAGAAAACATTAACTTGCGTAATAAAACATGACATTGTATACCTAAAAATATGATTTTAGTATTTTCTATTAAAAAAAATAAAAACAGTCGCTTTTTTTCAATTACGATGATAAGTTATTTTTATGAGTCTGCGTAAACAAAACGTGAGAACTATTCATTTTCTTACTGCTCATTGAAAGTGTGAGAAGCTTGGGCTAATCATATTGAAATCACTGAGACTACTTCACTGGTATGTATAGAGAAATAATAACAAATTTTTGAGAACACAGTGGAACCTCGGTTTACGACTTCAATTCGTTTCTGAAGCCCCCTCGTAACTCGAAATGTTCGTAAACCGAAACTATTTTCCTAATAGGAATCAATGTAAAATGGATTAATCCGTTCCTGGTCCCAAGATGATTGCTTATTTAAACTTTAACAACAGTACTTTGTGCACAAGTTCATATACAAAACTAATGAAAATCATATAATACATAAAACTAATGAAAATCATATAATACATAAAACTAATGAAAATCATATAATACACAAAATCATTAAATCTAAGAAAAAAATACTAAACAGATAAAATATAGGCGAACACTTCAAATTACCGTACCTGCATGTAGGAGAGTTGTTGGCGTAAGTGGAAAGGGAAAGGAAAGACATGATCGTCTCTTTATAAGAATAGTATATAGATTGTTGATTTTGCCATATGAAACTGAGTAGGAAGAGACAATATCATCATCATAGAGACAATATCATCAATAATTGTTTTTCTCTTAACTTTTCTTTTTCCTTTACCAGTATCAATGTTAGCTTTCTTTGGAGCCATGACTGAGGACTAATGAAGAGAAAAAAAAGGCACAGTACAATAAAACTGGAAAAGAAAAGCACAGCACAACACACGAATGTATACAACACGGCGGTTGACTCGGGTCGGCAATGTTGTTCCAGAATCGAAATTTTGTTTGATAACCGACGCATTTTCATCTCGAATATTCTGTTCGAAAACTGATTTGTTCGACATGCGAAACGTTCGAGAACCGAAAGGACCTTTTGTCACGGTTTCATTTTTCCTTTATGTGGCAATCAGTATAGCTTACAGCAATATCACAATGAAGCAACGGTTCTCATCCGATCACCGGTTAAGCAATGTTGAGCCTGGTCATTAACCTAGATGGGTGTCCGCTTGGGAATACCAGGTGTTGTAAACTTGGATATCCTTATGATGTGATGGATAACGGTCCAGGACATGAGAAATCGAATTCCAGTTGAGTTTTTGCATTTAATTACGTTTGAATAGTCTTGGGAAATGTAAGAATCCATCTCTTCCCCACCAAGTATACGTTAAATAGCACGAAAGTCTTGGTTGGCAACCAGTTTACCGCAGAAAGTAATGGTAGCCTACTGCGGGAAATCTTTGGCCAAATCAATTATGAATCGAAGAGACGTGATCGCCTAAGCATGTATCACGTATGACACCGAAGGAAGGAAGGAAGGAAGGAAGGAAGGAAGGAAGGAAGGAAGGAAGGAAGGAAGTTATTAATAGAGAAATGAAGCTCATAGATTTTCATTTCCTCTTTGGTAACGCTGAGTTATTTGTTTGTTCGATTATATATAATAATGTTTATAAATCAAATAAATTATGTAAGTAAATCAGTAAGTCCGTGACCTAATGATCATAAAAGAATTTCTTTTACACGACAAATACTAATTTTCAACATATTCTTCTTCCTTTGTTCATGCACCTAAATTCTGCGGTAAAAATCGAATATTATAGAATTAAAGTTTCAAATTAATGAATAACTAAGCTAATAGTTATATATTTGGCTACAAACTTATTGATCCACCTTTGTAAAACAAAGAAAAACGAATAAAGGAAAGCTTGTTTATTAATTCCATGAGATTTTACTGCTTAAAGCTGATAATATTTGTTTTGATTTATCTCTTTTATTTGAAGTAATTAATCAATAATTTACATTTCTTAATTGCTTCAAGTAGATTTTGTGTATAGGGTAATTATATCAGGAAAATTTATATCATTATATAAAAGATAATTGGATTGAAGGAACCTGAAAGCAGAAATCATTAATTATTCTTTATTATCCACAAAGCAGATTACCGTTAAAGTTTCGAAGATTTTATTACGTTTGAAATGGATGAAGAGTCTCGTGATAAACATTACTGATTGGATACTTGATTAAATTTCAGAAAATTGCCTATCAACTATCTTAATTTTTCCTAAATTCATTAGTAAACAAGGGATGTTAGTGATATGTTATCTAAAAGTGAATAAGATGGCTATATCTTAATCATATGATAATTTCGTTTTATTGTTGATAATATTTGAAAAACAATCAAAGCAGTAAATTTATAATAAATTATTTTTTAGATACGGTAGTGTAATCCTGATACGAGAATAATACATTATTTCCTTATTTCAATAAAATATCATTCAAGGTGAAAAGTTAAACGTTAATAAAATTTAGAATTAAAACGCAATCTATTTGCTGATACCCTTTTAACTTTTGATATAATTGATCTTTATTAAAATATAAATGATTATATATGAAATTCAACACAAAGATATATTAGAACGTGGATAATCAATAAATTAATACTGAGTTGGAAAAAAAGTTCGTAGCGTTTTTCAATAACTACCATTTGAAAACGCGATTTCCTTTTACACGTGACTGAAATTTATAACATATATACATATTCTGAAAAATGATATTTCAGCGTATCTTTCAATACAATTCGTTTATGGAGTGTGAACTGGAAATTGTTATTCCGTAAGTGAAAATGGAATGAATTTTCCTCATTTGACGCGCTTATATTTCAGGAAAGAAAAAAAATGCTGTAAAAACAGCAAATATGTGTCATTTATAGAGATGCTGCAATAACTGAGAATACTGTAAGTTGTTCATTAGGTGCAAATGCGGAAATTTTGATCTGAAAGACCGAGAAAGTTCCGACAGGCTTTCATTCATGAATTCAGACAATACTATTCGCAGTTGGACAACACCAGATCTCGCGTCTCTTTGTAAATCCGACAGAAATTGATACAGCTTAGTTAGGATAGACTACCAAACACGATGTTCTCACTTGACCTTGCACATTTGGATTACAAATTAGTTCGATCCCTACAAAATTTTATGAATGGGAAGTAGGTTAATTCTTTGGAAGCCTGCAAAATCAACTTAGACTATTTACTCATTCGAGGCATTCGAACAAAATTGTACTTATATAAATCTATGTACAAATATCAATATTTTGTCTTTGAAGTTCCCTTAACGCCACATTCTTTTATTCCTGAAGCAATACTTAAAGCAAGAAATTATTATATATATTATTATAAAAAAAAGACAACTGTGATGAATTTTAGCTAATATTTTTCAACAGTGATATCAGCTTAAAAATATCACTGTAGTCTGAGATTGTATACAATGAAACAACTACAACTACAAGACATCATTTGAGAAATTTGTTTTCATTATTTTCATTTATATTCAATCTAATGTCCTCAGCTTTGTTCTTATTATTACTAATTTCCGGTCTTCTGTGGATGTTTGCCGATCCGAGTAATTTGATTAAAATCTACAGAGGCAGATTGTCCACGTTTCGCTAACCATATCTAGGGACATCTCGTATTGTTCTCAAATAGTACTGTTCAGTTATTGCTCTCCCTGTTTTCACTTTGTCTATGTATGTATTACCCTGCCCAGAGATAGCACTCACAATTACTATGTCAGCAATTTTACGAAACAACTTTAATTCACTAGGCGTTTTTTTTCATATATTAATGACAGCAGTCATTGTGTATATACGAAAGAAGTAGGATTTTATAATCTTAACTGAAATAAATGTTTGCCTTGATAAAGTTGCCTGAGTAACAAGAACAAAAATCCTAGGGAATAATATTTTCACAAGGTGCTATTTATTAACTCTCCTTGGTGTTTAGACGAAGAAGTAATATTAATGAATGAATAATATGCATAAAGAAGCGAGAAGTAGCTGTATTTGATTTATAAGGCGCTTTTGTTATATGCTAATTACTGCCATAAAAATTTTTCCTTTTATGAATGACATTAAAATCCTGCCACCGTCAGGCGTGATAAACAACTGTACATTTTTTTTGTAATACAGCAAACTATATAATCAAAAACCTATGAAGAAATTCTGATAAGGCCATTGGGGAAGCATTTTCTAGCGAAAAGACATATTCGAAATGTTGAGAACTGGAATGCTAATGAAGTGTAAAAATATTGTATCCATATGAGATAAATGCACGCGCACACACACACACACACACACACACACACACACACACACACACACACACACACACACACGTATAAACTTACAGAAGTAATATATATATATATTCGACTACACAGATTCCCTGGCTAGAAATAAATATGTAATCAAGCAAATTATGAAATCATTATGTGCTTTCACGTATCCCCAATTGTATATGGAGGCGTATACCAAAACATGCTTATCAAGGAGTTTGAAAATATCCGTATAACCTTTACGTCATACACATGCAGGTACATGTCCATTCATGCACGAACACATATATTACATATATGTAATATCTATATATATATATATATATATATATATATATATATATATATATATATATATATATATATATATATATATATATATATATATATATATATATATATACAAAGAAAGGGATAGATAGATTTATTAATCCGACAGATTTTATTAAACGTTATGTTTTAGTGGACATTCGTATTTGAATTAGACGCTCCATTTATTTATTAAACATTATATTTATTTATTATCGTCTACCGGCCTGAATATACGAGACATTTTATTAGAGAGAAATATGCGCTCTTCTGTGGGATTCGAACATAAATGAATATATAGGGTGCGACGGAAAAAAAATGTTTGTCTCTCGCACCTCACACATAAGTCTAGGGAGTTAGGTGGGCTCATGTAAGGAATAATCCGGTCGCAGAAATTTTCTGACTGCCAGTTCTCCTGCTTGCGTGGTATGATGCAGAGTCCTGTTCCAAGACATGCTTTTCCAGCAGCTACACTCTTGAACCAGGGCAGCACTACCTCCTCAAGGCACTTGATGTAGGTCTCCGTGTTGAGTCTAAGGCCCTCATTAACAAATTCCAGCGTTTTTTTTTTTATCAGAACGATTAGAGTGAGTTTTTCGAGCTGCCGTACATTCGTAATCACCATCAGACTCACTCAACTCTTTCCAAATCTTCTGCACTGTCATCAGATTAACACTCAAACACTCTGAAATGTTCGTTTGGAGTTTCCGGTGCGAATGCCAAGTAGTACAGCATACCGTTTCCATATTTCTGGCGGAGTGAATTGCGTCATGATGTTTTATTTTTTTTCTCACAGAAGTTGCCCAACTGTGCGCAGTCGACAAAATCAACAGCGAACAACGCGCGCATAAACGAAATTAAAAATATAAAAATGGCGACAATTTACCCATCGCACCCTGTAAGGAATAATAAAAAATAGTTTCTAACATTTACTTTGATTCTACTGGGTGGGTTACTAATACAAGAAATCGATTGAGCATCTCTTACCTATTTCAAAGAATCAAACCGCCTATTTTCTTCCAATATTTATAATTTCTGCTTCTCCAAATTAACATTAACTGAATCCATAAATTTACTTTCGAGATGATTCTCACATGCCAATCAAAAATTTAAGACATTGGTTTTATTTCCAAAACCTGGTTGTCATTTGAGTCGGCTAAATCAACGGATTATCTTTGTTTATCTATTATGTTATCTTTGTTTATCTATTATGTTATCTTTGTTTATCTATTATGTTATCTTTGTTTATCTATCTATGTAATCATGTGAAACTGCAACTCCAGCTTTTGTCACTAATGTCTTTGATGTTGTCTATTCAAAAGCTTAAGTTATTTGCTTTTGAATGGCAAGTGACTAAATGTTAGCTTATTCTTTTTTTTTTTTGGATCGTTTTTGGTTTCCTTTTTATTCCACTTGTGATTTTCAGTTAATTATCGATGCCATTTTCCTATTTTTTGCTTTTTCAATTTTTCCGGAATTTTTATCCTTGCTTCTTCCATCATATTTCTTTATTTGTTATTTGTCATTTATTTTAATTATTTTTCATTTTTTTTTTGTTATTTGTATTTTTAAAATTTATTTGTCATTTTTCAGCTTCCTTTCAAGCATCA